GTTGTTGTTGTTGTTGTTGTTGTTGAATGGGATGGTGGCTACTATGATGATGACGAGGAGGAGGATGAGGAGGAGGAAGACGAGGAAGACGAGCAGGCGCACGATTGGTGAGGCTTCGGCTGAGGGTGCTGACGGGGATGACGCGCAGAACGACGACGACGGGCATGCTGATGATGGTGGTGATGATAACGGTGATGCTGGTGATGATGCCGTGGGCGGTGATGACTGGTTTTCTCATTGTCACGGTGATGGCGATGGCGATGGTTACGGCGACGACGCTGGTGTTGCCGACTCGCCCGCAGGTCTCGGCGCTCGTGCTCCGGTGCCAGTGGCTCGGCCTCAAGTTCGAGGTGGAGGCCTTCCTCCTCCTCCTCCTCCTCCTCCCCTCCTCCTCCTCCTCCTCCTCCTCCTCTTCCTCCCCCTCTCCCTCCTTCTCCTCCTCCTCCTCCTCCTCCTCCTCCTCATTCTCCTCCCCTCCCCCTCCTCCTCCTCCTCCTCCTCCTCCTTCTCCTCCTCCTCCTCCTCCTCCTCCTCCTCCTCCTATTCTCCTCCTGCAGCCCCTCTAGCTGACAAGCAGCCTGGGTCAGTTTGCGTGTGGGGGGGCGGGGCGGAGGCGGCTGGTCGGCGGCGCGCCCTAGGGGGGGAGGGCAGACGGAGCGGACCCTCTCCGAAGAGGCTCGATGGTCCCCCAGCCTTCCGAGGAGGCTTTCTCTAAGCCTTCTCCGGAGCCCCGCCGCCGTCTGAGATCGGCGCCACCCCAGCATACTTATGCTATATGTGCGTCGCGCCCCCAGGGGGCGACGCGCGCACCGAGAAGTCTTATATAGTATATGCGTCGTGGCGGGCGCTTTCTGGCCACACCGCTCGGGAAACGATATACTACAAGACTGGTATACTATATGTTCGGGTTGGACGCGCGCCTCCGAGGAGGACATATAGTATTAGTATGTCTCTGTGCGCCCCATGAGAAGGCTTGCCCCCTCCTTCTTCGCCCCCTCGGCGCGCCGCCGAGCGGAAGAGGAGGAGCAGGACGAGACGGAGTTTAGGTGGGGTGGGGGGGGGTTGTGGGGGGAGGGGTCAGGGAGGAGGAGGAGGGAGAGGGGGGGGAAGCGGAAAATGGGGGGGGGGGATGGTGAGGGAGGGGCAGGGGGGGAGAGGAGGGGAAGCCTGTGCCTGCTCATCACGGCCTTGCTGCTGCTCGGCCTCCTCCTCCTGGCCCCTCCTCCCTCCTTCCTCTGCCCTTGTCTGTCGCTCGGCGTAGCCCCACCAGCCCATCCAGGAACGATGCCCAGGGGGGCTTCCCTTTTTCAGGAAGGGCGCGGCACCATCGGGATACGTCGGGGAGCCTCCGTGGGCTAGAGGGCTCCTGGATGCCCCTCGGAGTCTCTCGAGGTCTCTTGAGGCGTCCTGGGGGTCTCTTGGTGGCTCTTGGGGGCCTCTCTCTTGTGGGCCCCCTCCCCGTGTCCTTCCTGATGCGCCACACTTCTGCTAGGACGGCCGCGGCAGCCCGTCTCCTCCCTGCTCTCGCTCGCTGCCCCCACTCCCCTGTCTCCGCCCATGTCCCCTTGGAGGACAGGGGGAGGGAGTGAGTGAGGGAGGGACAGAGGAAGGGGAGGAAGGGGAGGAGGGAGGGAGGGAGGGAGGGAGGGAGGGAGGGAGGGAAGGGAGGGCGCCACTCGGACGCGGGACGCGGCTGGGCTTGGCGGCTCCGCCTACAGCGATGCCTCGCTTCGTCTCTGCGGTGCTCTGCGGTGTTCCAGGGCTCGAGCGAAACGGTGTTTCGGCGATTTCGTTGGTCGTCTTCGTTTTGATGTTGTTCTGCAGCAGGGGCGGAACGAAGACAGAACGTGGAACACCGAAACTTGTCTTGGCGAAGGAGCCCACCGTGTGCAGTTGTGAGTGCTGCCCTTGCGAGTATCGCCGTTGGGGGATCCCCTCATGGGGCCACGAAGTATTCGACGGGTGTGCCGATATGGGGCGGGGCCGCTGTGTGTGTGCTGCCACTGGGGCTTCAGGTGGAATCCACTCTGAGGCCGCGGAACGTGTGAGGGGTCTTCGGTGGAGCTCCCTATCGGGTCACGATGCGTTGTAATGGGTAGGGGGACTCATGCGAACACCGACACTGGGGCCTTCGGTGGAGCTCGCTGTAGGGCCTCGGAAAGCTGTACAAGGTGGGGGAGACGCATGCGAACACCGCCACTGGGGCCTTCGGTGGAGCTCCCCTATGAGGCCACGAAGCGCTGTACTGAGTGGGGGGGACGCATGCGAACACCGCCACTGGGGCCTTCAGTGGAGTTCCCTTGCGAGGCCACGAAGCTTTGTATCGGGTGGGGGAGACGCATGCGAACACCGCCACTGGGGCCTTCGGTGGAGCTCTCTTTGGGGCCACGAAGTTATGTACAGGGTGGGGGAGACGCATGCGAACACCGCCACCGGGGCCTTCGGTGGAGCTCCCTATCTGGTCACCATGCGCTTTACCGCCCCAAACCGCCTCTAGATGGCCACCACCGGTGACTGGAGAGCGACTCCAGCCAGGTAGTACGTGCCCGAAGACGGACGGGGTAAGGTGACTACATTGGTGCTCATGATGCTGACAACGATGATGACGATGATGATGATGGTTATGATAAGCATGCCGATGATCATGATGATGGCCACGACGACGATGATGACGCCGATGATGATATTGATGATGGTGATGCTCGTGATTCTGATGATGATGCTGGTGGTGACCACGACGATGACGGCGGCGACGACGACGATGACGAAGATATGGTGATCATGGTGGAGACGATGATGATGGTGATGATGAGGATGTTGAGAACGAGGATGATGTTGATGATGGAGGTTTTAGAACGGGTTGAGCAGAGGGGCCATACGTGTGATGTTGGGCAAATAGAATATGCTGCCTGTCACTGGTGTGCACTCGCCAACACCCTGCTGCCTATCTCCGCTCAAGTTGTTTTTGGTCTGAAGCAGGCCTGATGGGCCCCCCGGCGGCCCTCATCAGTCACCTCCAGACCGCTGGGATACGTGCTCTGGAACTGCTGGCGCTGCGGCAGTCGATCATCTCGGGGGTGCCGCCGTGCCCGGCAGTGTCGCTGGCGTGCCCGCTGGCGAACCTGACCTGCCCGCCGCAGGTCTGCCCGGCGCTGACGTGCGCGCCGCCGCCCTGCCCTCCTCCAGTGTGCCCGGCGCCGCTGGTCAACCTCTCCTGCCCGTCTGCAGGGGGAATCGTGGGAGCCGGCGAGTTCGACTCACCCTCGGCGTGCTGGGGGACTCTCGCTGGGATCGCGGCTGGGCTGGGGCTCGGCCGCGCCGCCCCGCGCCGCGGGCGTGCTGCTGACGCCGAGAGAGATGATGATCGCGCACCGTCCCCTGCCCCCGCTCGCCGCGGAGGGGGAGTGGTGCGCTGACTTGGCGGTCGGCACGCTGGTCCGGGTCTCCTACGCCGGGGAGACCATGGACCACACGAGGGTCGTGCTGTGGCCCAGCCGCCGCATGGACCAGAGGCGACGAGTCCGAGGGCGACACGCCTACTGGGTGCTCTCCGCGGACGGCGACGTCTGGGAGGAGGACCTGAGCGGGAGGAATGCAGCGACTGGGCCGTCGGGCGGGTCGCTGCTGGACCAGGCGACGGGGAACCCGCCCGACGGCCGCCGCCTCTATCGGTTCCGTGCGCGGCCCGGCCTGGACGAGGTTGTGGAGCTGGCGGCGGAGTGTCGGGCCACTATGCTCAGGCGTGGGCAGGCCGAGGCGGAGGGGCCGACGAGAGTGGTGCTGGCCGACGGGGCGGTGCGCCCCGGCCACGACTACTTCCCGTGGCTGGTGGCCCCGCGCCCGTGGGTGCTGACGGAGCCGCTCCCTGGCATGCCCATCGGGACCGTGGTGGATCCGCTCCCGGTGGGGGCGCTGCGCGACGGGAGCCGGGCCCTCGGCCTGCTCCCGAGCTGCGGCCGCTGGGCGAGGCTCGAGCAGGTGGACGAGGGCCAGATCGTCGAGTGGGCTGCCAAGAGGACGAAGGAGCTGCTGCTCGACCTCGGCGCGGAGCCCGACGCCATGGGCGCCGCCGAGCCGGTCGGCGGGACTGAGACCCCTCCGCTGCGCGAGGCTCGCTCGTCTGGAGGCGACCGCCTAGGCGAGAAGCTGGGGCTGACCGCGGAGGAGCCCGCCGAGTCGGCCGCAGGGAAGGACGACGCCAGCGGCGACGCGCGCACGCTGTGGGTCGACTGGGACGAGCAGGGCGAACGCAGGAAGGAGTTCAAGCGGGCGGTGGCTGAGAGCTCGGATGTGAAGTGGGACCATCACAGGCTGCCCGCCGACCGCACTTGCCTCCACACGTGCAAGATGATGGTGAACTTGAATGGGTCCCCGCGCGCGTGGCTGGAGCGCTTTCTCAGGGAAAAGGGGATAGCTTCTACGGATCGAGTTGCGCACGAACTCCGAGTGTTGTGCGACATCCTGGAGGAAGCAGGCGAGTTTGACCAGATCAATCTCGGAGGACTGGCCTGCTTGGAAGTGGCCGCCCTCCGGCTGAACCTGCTGGTGGACGCGCACAAGAGCGGGCCGGCCTCGTACTCGAACGCGAAGTACCTCTCGCCGCTGACCGACGTGGACCAGTTGATGGCTCCTGGCTTGCGGTCTCACGTGTCGAGGCGCGCCAAGGAGGAGTACGAGCTGATGCAGGGCGACAGGAAGGCCGAGGCGGTTGCTGCTGGGGCGGCTGGCGCGCGGGTTCCACCGCGCGAGGGGGCCGATGACTCGGCCAAGGGTGGCAAGGGCGGCGGCGGGGGCGGCCGGGGTAACAAGACCCGGGCGCGAGCCCTCGCGCCGCCCGTGCAGGCATGACGGACCAGTCTCAGCCGGCGGAGTGGGCCCCTGCCGGCTGGGCTAACACATCGGCCCGGCGAGCGCCGCTGGCCCTGGCGAGCGGGGATAGGGACCTCTTCCCCCTCCCTCGCCTGGCCAGGCCGCCCGCCAGCAGGGGCGGCAGCCGCGCCCGGATTGCTGGCGCTCGGCGGCGGCGCGAGCACGAATTGGTGAACGGCGCGATCGACTCTCTCAACTGGCTTGCTGGATGGGAGCCTGACGACGTGGGCCCGCCGCGCTCCCTGGACGCCATGGGGGGCAAGCATGCTGGGATCGTGCAGTGGGTGGCCAGCGAAGCTCTTCGGCGCCAAGCCGCAGCTCCCAGCCCCTGTCCGTCCCAAGAGGCATCGCTCAGTGCGTTGCTCAAGGGGTGCTCGATCTACGACACGTCGGGCTCCCCGAGGAACCTGGCCTCCTTCGTCCGCGAGCGCGTGTCCTTGCCCCCTTCGGTTGTCGGCTGCCTCCAGGTGGACGATATCGTGGGCGA